AATGACAGTCTCAGATACATAAGGCACAAACTAATAGAATGGAAAGGAGAAATAGACAAATCCACAATAAAAGTTGGAGACTTCAATACTCCCATCTCTGCAACTAGACAAAAAGTTACCAAAGAACTTGAAGATCCAAACAACACAATCAACCAAAAATATCTAATTGAAAAACAGAGAACACTCCCTCCAATTTTTTTCAAGAAATCATAGAACCCTCACCAAGCTAGACTATTTTTGGGGCCATAAAACAAACCTCCAAATTTAAAGAATTGAAATTATGCAAAGTGTGCTCTCCGACTACAATAAAATCAAACTGGAAATCAACAACAAAAAGACAATAGGAAAACCTGCAAACATGTGGAAATGAAATAACCTTTGAATAACCTATTTTAACCTTTTTTAAACAACCTATGGGTCAAAAGGGAAGTGTCAAAAAACTTTAAGTACATACAATAAAATAAAAATAAAGCTACAGTAAATCAAAATATGTGGAATGCAGCTAAAGCAGTGTTATAGGGAAATTTATATCATTACTACTTACATTCAAAATGAATAAAGTTCTCAAATCAGTAACCTAAGTTCCTACCTCAAGAAACTAGTAAAAGAAGGACAAGATAAATCCAAAACAAGCGGAAAAAGAGAGGTAATACACAGAAGAGGAGAAATCAATGAAATTGAAAAAAAGGAGAATAATAGAGAAAATCAATAAAACAAAACTAGTTCTTTGGGGGGGGAATCAATAAAATTGATAGGCCTTTAGCTATACTGACAAAAATAGAAGGCAAAATCACCAGTATCAAGAATGATATAGGGAGTATCTCTACATATTCTACAGCCATTGAAAAGATAATAAAGGAGGAACTTAGGCTCATACATTCAATAACTTAGAAAAAATGGACCAATCCTTGAAAACTACCAACTGCAAAAATTTAACCAAGATGAAACGGCACTGGAATCAGTAATGAAATTGAATTTGTAATTTGAAGGCTCCCCAAATAAATTTTTGGGCCCAGGTGGTTTTAATGGAAAATCTACTAAATATTTGAATAGAACGACATGAGCTTATCATAGTTTCTTCCAGGAAGTAAAAAAAAAAAAAAAAAAAAAAAACAAAACAGGAATACTTCCCAAATCATTATACAAGGTCAGCACTAATTAGATAGCAAAACCAACAAATGACAGCACAAAAGACAATAGAGAAAGGAATCTGTATTATTTCATGTGTATCTACAATAATCTCAAATAAATTAATAACATGACCTCTTATTTCAACAAGCACTTACTAAGTATTTGTCAGTTTATTTATGAAATATAAAGCGTGTTTTATATTTTAATTTTTAATCCAATGAGAATAAATGATATCAGAGTTTGTTATTGATCAATTCAAATAATCTTCTGTTACAAAGAGCTAAAAGGTGTTCAGAGCTGCCCAAAGCAAGAACATAGACACTTATTTACCAGAAGATATTGATCCAAAACAGTTATTTCTCCTAAGTGCTAAAAGAGACAACCAAAGAGATCTAGCAAGATGTCTGGGATAAAACCAGCGCCTGCAAAATTTTCATTGAGCTTGCTTTCACGCTCTCTCTCTCTCTCTTTCTCTCTCCCCCTTGATTGAGAAACTGGAGCCCCATCACCCCTCAACACAGAAACCACCTTAGATTGATTTCAGAAGGCAAATATTTCAAGTGCACACTTGATAGCTATTGACTAAGATAAATTATCTGGAAATGTTCATCACTGTGATCATTCTCATTCATAAAGATTGAATATTTGTGATTAAAGTGAAAATATATTCATTTAAAGCTAGTTACCATTAGGCAACCATCAGGAATGAAGCCAGAAGCCAAATGAGCCACACATCAGAGGGCTCTTGGACCTACAAATCATGTCGTAGACACAATGGCTCTTTGCACTTACACTGGGAGCGCTGTAGGCCAAGGGGTCTATGACTTCAACACTGCACATATGTGGCTGTTACTTAGAGCTCTCTGAGGTATAGATTTACATTACCATCTGCCATCTCAGTTGCTGTTTACATCTGCTTTAAAAGGGGGGGGGGTGGTGGGCATAATGGATTAAAGTATGTGTAGAAAGCCCTGGGGGGAAAAAAAAAAAAAAAAAAAAAAAAAACACCACCACCACAACAACCTGAACTTGGGATAAGTACACATATCTGTCCAAAGGGAAGTAAGGAACTCATACTCTCTTCTCTCTTTGAAAGATTCCCTTGAGTTGGGGAAATTAAGTGAAGAAAGAGTGTTTTAAAATTCCTAATACAGTCCAGCTTCTCTGAAGAGCTTCAGAAATATTCTCAACTATCTGTGTTTTAAAATTTATCAATAAATGTATTGGTAAATGAGATTTGATATAAACTTAAAACTTGAACTCTATGAAACATGCTGTTAGGAGTTTGAAAAGACAACTCCCTAAACTGGGAGAAAACATTTGTAAAACTGTACTTCTTAGAAAGGACAAGTATCTAGAATACATAAGGAAATTTTAAAGCTCAATAGTAAAAAGACAAACAAACAATCCAGTGAAAAAACGGGCAAAAGACATGAAGAGACGTTTCACCAAAGAAACGTTCAGATAGCAAATAAGTCCAGGAAAAGAGGTTTAACATCATTAGTCTACAGGAGCATGCAAACTAAAACCACAGTGAGACACCATTACACCTATACCTACGAGAATGACTTTAAACAAGTCTAACAACACCGAATGCTGGCAAATATGCAGAGAAACTGCATTGCTCCTAAGTGGCTGGTGGAAATAGAAAATGGTGGAGCCACTTTGGAAAACAAGTTGGCGGTTTCTTATAAAATTGAACATGTAACTGCCATGCAAGCCAGCAATTGCACTCCTGGGCATTTATCTCAGAGAAATGAATACTTCTGTTCATACAAAAGCCTGTACATGAATTTTTATAACAGCTTTATTTGTAATAGCCAAGCACTAGGAACAACTCAGATGCCCTACAACAGGTATATGGTTAGGTGTTAGCACATACCATGGAAAATCATGCAGTAATTAAAAAGGAACAAATTATTGATGCATGAAACAATTTGGATGAATCACCAGGAATAATGCTGAGTGGGGAGAAAAAGCCAAATCCAAAAAATTTCATACTATATGATCCCATGCATATAACATTTTGGAAACAACAACAGTATAGAAATGGAGACTAGATCAGTAGTTGGGGGAGTTAAGGGGTTGGTGGAAGCAGGGAGAATGAGGAAGGGTAGGGGAGGCAGGTGGGTGTGACTAGTTAAGAGCAACATGGGGGATTCTTGTGGTGATGGGATCATCCGATATCTTGACTGTATCAGCACCAATATACCACTTGGGATACTTCCTATAGTCTTGCAAGATAGCACCATTGGAAGAAATTGCTTAAAGGGTACAGAAGACTTCTCTGTATTATTTCTTATAACTGCATATGAATCTAAATTATCTCAAAAAATGTTTAATTTTAAAAAAGAAGTGAAGAGTTTAGGAAGAAAGTGTATTTTTTCCACTCAGATTTGGAAACGAAGATGTTGCTAACCCACTGGCCAAAAAGGCTATTGATAAGAAGATAAAGTAGGCAGTTGAGAACAGAGAGTTGTTTCTAGGGACTTTCTCTTAGCATCCAGAGCCTCCCTTCCTAGCCAGGAGCATTGGCAGCCTCCATCTTTCTCCAGGAGATTCCAAGAAGGACGAAGACAAACGGCTCTAACAAGGAAGCCTGCTCCCTGCAGATTTGTGACCATGACTTCTGAATAAATTCTAACCCTTGGAGTGGACTTCAGGTTGAGTTTCATATGGTTCCAGCCCTATTATTTGGGATGGTGGCAAATGGAAAGAGGGAGTCAACCACTCAGTACTGGTGATAACAGGTGATTGAAGCCAGCGAGTGGCTTCTCGAGACCCATGCTGCCTACAGCCTCTGGAAGGAGAGGAAACCCCATGCGTGGATTGCACTGTACCTTGAATCCATCTCTCGGGCATCATTGGTGGGTGGTCTCTTGGCTGCCCTCAGGGATCTCAAGCCCCTCCCACTGATCCCTACCTCATCCCCTAGACTAACTGCCCTACTCTTCATGCCCAGACCACTGACTACAAACTGCTCCTCCGGTCAGCATAGGACATTTCCTCCAGTGAGCTTGCCCCAAACACAGACCCTTCCTCTCTATATGACAGCACATCACACCACCAGCCTCGCTTCAACACCTTTTGCTCCCCCTGCCCTTTCCTGAAATGCATGGTAATTCCTCATATTAGAACATTTGCTTTCATTCCTTTGAAGGAGCAAATTTTCTCTGGCCTCTACACCCCACCCCGGATAGTGAGGGCTGCTTTCTTCACCATGAAATGCTCTCCTGGGCGAGCAGTACTGCAAACTGGTTAAGAGCATGGACTCTAGATCCCACTGCCCAGCTCAAACTCTGGCCTTACCATTTACTAGCAGAGAGGTCTTGCACAATGATTTATCAACTCAGCGCCCCATCCGTGAAATGGGGATGTGAGCAGCTGCTTCTCTGGCAATGATTTGGTAGATATAAAGGAGAGTGATTAGCACATCTGAAGCCTACTGTAAATGTCAGGGATTGCTTGCTACTATTCTCACCCCGATACTACTCCAGGAGGCCCAGGTGGTGAGTGAAAGTACTTGGAATTTAAACTCAAGTAGATTAAAGCATTAAAATCAGCTGTGGTACCTTTTGGGCAAGTCACTTAATCTGACTGTGCCCCATCTACTGTATTTGCAAAATCAGCCCCCTCCTCCGCCCAAAAAAGGCACCAAAAACCTTACTACATCGGGTGGTTTCAGAGATTAAAGTGTCTAGCTGGCTTGTTTGGGTCTCTCCAGCCTTGCAAACTAGGTACTCAAAGCACAACTCCATATTGTGTTTTTGAAACGGACAATTATTGCAGTCGGGAACAGTGGCAGCGAGATCAGTCCTCTTTCCCTCTCCATCCCCCTTGCCCTGGCGCCTGTGAAACGGAGCATCCCCATGGCAACAGCAGCAGCTGGTCCCTAGATAAGAGGAGCTGGAGCCTGGCAGCAGCCACTGCTGTAGAAAAGCCTGCCCAGCTTCAGGGAGAAGGCTTGCCCTCTCCACCTCTCGCCTCATCCCAGCGCCTGCACTCATTGGTAAGTGCCTCCGATTTTTACTCCAAGAACTTTCATGGCAAGAAAAGCAAATTCCCAATAAGTTACAGGTTCTTTATGGTTGCTGGGACAAAGAGGGCTGCAGCTGGTGGAGCAAGGGTGGTGGGTAGGGGGTGGGGGCAGGAGTGTGCTTTCTGGAGCAAGGCTAAGCTGGGGCTAGATGGGGAACGGGGAAAGTTATCACCCTCAAGACATTTTTTTCTAAGGAAGGTAGAGTCCTGAATTCTGTGAGAGTCAGAATTTTTGCAAATTCAGTTGCTAAGTTTCCAGAGGAACATTGGTATATCTGTGTATTCAAAAGGTGAAGGAGGCTGGGGAGAGTGTGCTTAGTAAAAAACCCTTTCCTCCTAGGAGAGTCACTCCTAGGAGGAATACTGCACATTTGTCTTTTAATGAACAAACTTGATTTTAAAATGTAGTACTTTTTGACCTGAATTCAATCTTCTAGTTAAAAAGAGATTTGACAAAGGATATGAATTGTACATCATCAGACACCACATTGGACTGTGGTCATAACCTTCTAACTTTTTATTCCATCGAGTAAGTCCAGAATTGATTACTTTGGGGAAATTCTTTAGAATTTTTTGAAATTTCATTACTACTAAGCCAAGTGTCAGCTCGCTCCTGACAATCAGTAGTACCATGTTTGCCAGACTTGGAAAGTGGGGCAGGGTGGGGGGGTGCCCCCATTGGTTTGTAGCTTGGAAGCTTGGATCGCACTAATCTCATTACTAGCTTCAGAGAAGGCCAGAGATGGGGCAAGGAGATGGTTCCAACGGTTCAGTTGAGATATACACGTCATAATCACAAAGGGAGGACGGCAAAGAACAAACAAAGCAACCTACACTTCTTGAAGTGTCAGCATGCGCTGGGATCTGGGCTGGAACCTTACACACAGTGTATTGTGAATACTCTCAGTCCCGGAGAAAAGCCACCATCAGCCCACTTTACAGATGTGGAAACTAAGTTTCCAGGAGGGCATACCACTTTTCCAAGTTCACCCAGCTAGAGAGTGGTACAGGTAATCAAACATTTGCTTCTATCCCATATTGCACCAAATGCTTGCTGTCAGTGACCTTGAGTTAAACTTCATATTCCAACATCCAACTAAGGAACGTACTCGGTATCAAGAAGGGCAAAATGCCCAGACTCACTTCCGACCTCAGATTGAACTGATGGATGTTTTTTTAGCTGAGGAACTGGCACTCCTGCCCTAAACCAGGAGCGGGCTCTGTGCTGGTGGAGGTGGGCTCCCCCCACGCTGTCCTCAGCTTCAGCAGCCGCCCTGCCTTGTCTGTCCTTCTACATTCTTCTGGAGTTCCTTCCCAGGTCCCTGGTGTTCCAGGTCCTATTCTCAAAAGAGAGGGTGACTCTTGCCATTCAATGCACAGGTGACCTGTGTGTTGTGTGATGTCAGTTACTGTAGCCCCTCCCTCAGTGGTATTTGAATTTGCAAGTGTCTCTCTGTGAGAAGAAGGGCTTTGTCTCTTGTGAAAAGGAAGGTAAAAATTAGCAAGAGGAAGTTGCTAATATTTAATATCGGGTCCTGAAAACCTCCTCAAACCCCTGAAAGCCTATCGCTTGGTTTCCCTCCTGCACATGCAACACCAAGCCGTCCTCATTCTCTCAAATGGCATCGAGAAAGTTAATACAGACCCACCATCCTTTATTCTCTAATTGAGAAATCTAAAATACTCTGAAGACCAGAAGTTCTTAGTTGTTCTTAAATTCAACATAAATGCATCTGGTAGCAAGACCTGAGCTGAGAGGATATGAACCTTGGTGTAGTTTTTATTCATGGCATTTGGTGCTCATGTTCATATTTTTGCTATGGAAGTAGTGGGTGTGACTGTGGGGTTTCCTGCGACCCCTCTTAAGAGGGTCATGTAGGAAAAATTTCCTGATTCCCATGGCTGACATGGCCCCATGCTTTCCAGGGGAGGCAGGGGAGCACGACGGCATCCACATATGTCACTGTGTGATTGTTAAAACCCAGAGATCTCACCAGGCACACAAGAAACCGCAAGAGAAGGTTAAAGGGTCGCAAACCTTCGTGCTAGAGAACAGTTCATGCAATCGCCACAAGGCACCACGTACGAAGGGCCCTAAACTGGGGCACCTGGGTGGCTCAGTGGGTTAAGCCTCTGCCTTCCGCTCAGGTCATGATCTCAGGGTCCTGGGATCGAGCCCCGATTCCCCCTCTCTCTCTGCCTGCTGCTCTGCCTACTTGTGATCTCTCTCTCTCTGTCAAATACATAAATAAAATCTTTAAGAAAGGGGGGGGCTAGCCCCCTGGTTGAAATCTGAACACCCGAGGGACAAGGAATTTAGGAATGCAAGAAGAGCCAGCGTTTCAGAAGCTCCTGAACAGAGAGCTGCTGAGGGAGACGATGAAATCTTCCTGGGCAGCATGACCAGAGCAGGGTCCTCTGGCCGGTGCCTGGAGTAGAGAGGCTAAATTAATGAAAGGAAAGCATGGGCAGGATCAGGAATCATAAGTGGAAATATTCCATTTCTTTTTTTTTTTTTTTTTAAGATTTGTTCACTTATTTGCCAGAGAGAGCGAGAGAGAGAGAGCATAAGCAGGGGGAGCAGCAGGCAGAGGGAGAAAAAGGCTCCCCGCTGAGCAGGGAGCTTCATGTAGGACTGGATCCCAGAACCCTGGGATCATGACCTGAGCCGAAAGCAGATGCTTAAGCAACTGAGCCACCCAGGAGGCCCCCAGATATTCCATTTCTTAGTTCAAGAGTTAGACTGGCTCACGTCTAACAGTGTTTTCACTCACCAAGCGCAGCCCGTCTCCCTGAGGAGAGGAGTGCTGAGTGGGTGGGGAGGGTCATCTTACACTAAGGCTCAACAGTCAGGTAAAGCGACAGTTACTAAGGTGACACTACACCAAACCTCCCTCTCCTTGCGTATTTGTTCCTTTCTCTGCGTGCGACTTCTCTGCCCAGAAGAGCTTAATGACATCATCCGCCATAAAAGTCTCTTCTAATCCCCTGGGCAAACACACCCTTGCCCAGCTCAGAGTATTTTTTTGCTGTAAAAGCCCCAATCTGAAAACCATCTTTCAGCCCCCTAGCGCACGGAGGCTGGGCAGTCCGCTGCTGGCACCCTTGCGATAACACTGGTTTATACCAGTGTTGCTTCCCCCGTGGACACTAGATGCTATCTTGGGGGGAAAGCGTGGGCCCTTGCCTTGTCCAGGGACTTCGGACACTGGCACGACTCCCCTGTTAGGGAGACGCTTCTCTCTCTCTCTCTCTCTCTCAAGTCCAGTACTGTGAAAGCTGTTTTGCTCCGATGAAGCCTGGCTCTCCTGTGGTTTGGTATCTAGACGAAAATGAAAGATTTGATTATTTTTAGTACTTTTTGGTTATACAAGCTGGACTTCATCAGCTACAGAACAATGACTATCATAGACTGAGTACGCACAGTGTACAAAGCAGGGAGCTGTTCTAGTTAACCCTTATAGTAACTCGGTGAGGTAGATACTGATATTTCTATTTTACGGATAGGAAAATGGAGGATAGGAATGGGATAGGGGGACAGAAAGGGACCCATGTCCTTGGGTGCCCAGCTATGGGTGCACCACAAAGATGCTAACTAGCTTTCGCTCATTCTAGCACAGCAGCTGTCGCTTGTAAGAAGAAAGGGCAAATGTGATTATATTGTACTTGGGCTCCATTCACCCTCATTACATCCCAAAGATTTCTTCACCGAAGTCATACAGTTTTTTAGGTAGAGGGTTGAAATTTTACCTGGATCCACTGGAACTCAAAACTCAGATTCAGATTAAATAACCCACTATTGGGCACACAGAAGAAGCCATATGACTCAAGTACAAAGAAGAGCTGACTGTGGGTGAAGAAAACAAGAGGGGGACCATTGCCAGATGGGACCTAGAGTAGAAGGCAGGAGGCCTGGGTTCAAACAATTACTCTGACTCTGTGCATGACACTAATACTAGGTGACTTCAATCTTTTTGAGCCTCAGCTGACTTTCTGAAGAATGAGTATTTTTTGACTAGGTCCTCTGTGGGGTGACTTTCAGCACAAAGTCAAGGACAGAGCTCTTGATTTTCTGCCCAAAGAGAAGGAAGATATAGCTAAGTAGGTGCACAGGCCGTATTTGAGGCTGTCACTTCGCCTGGAGGCCTCAGCGTTGAGCCCACTCATCCGGACTGATGGTCCCATAGCTCCCCCCTCTACTCAAGCAGGTGGGAGCTAGCCTCCCAAGTGAGCCACATACCTCCTTCTGTTCCCGGGGAGCTGGCAGTCTCTATACAGACACTAACGCAATGGTCAGAATTGATTTATGCTAAAGTCACTCAGTACAATCAGTGTGCTCAGAGTAACACTAAAAGCCAGGGTCAAGGAACCTGTGAAGAGCTCCATCTGCTATGTAGTGATCTCAGCTGGTAGGGGGAGAGGCCCTCCAGGCTTCCTGCAGAAAACTGGCTTATTCTTCAGAAGACGATGGAGTTGAACTCATTCTACTCAAAATGTTAACACCACTGGTCTCTGTGTTCATCCACAGACCAGTGATCCAGGAATCTTAAGAAAAAAGGATCAGTTTGGGTCATTTGAATCTTATTCCTCTCTAAGCCTTCTTATTATGATGGGACATGAGTAATAAATTATCAGAAAGAAACAGAATCAAATTCTGTAAGTCTCAACTAATGCATTTCTCATTCAGACCTGACACATGTCCATTCCGGATTTCCACTCCTCCTGGACAAGGACTACAACTAATAGCTCTGGAAAGTTCAATGGATTTGTGGTTTAGGAAAAATGGGGGGAGCAGACTTGCTCTAATGTCAGAACTCTCTAAGGAGAAAATAATAAGGATCCATTTCAAGAGTTAGATTTTTTTTCCTACCAGGACTTTACCACCTGGAATACGGATAGGGAGGAAATCTCTTTACTTTGTAGTTATTTTACAGTGTACATTGCATGCTATATATGTGTAATGCAATATTTACATACATGCTACATATATTTAATGCACATGTGCATATAAAACATAGCACTTAATGATAGAAAACCAGAAGCTTGGTTCAATTTACGTTTAGTGGAATCACGTCCTGAGAGTCTTGCGTGTCTACTGGAAATCTTCAGAACTAGATTTGGATCCAGGCTATTTAGTAACTTGGATCTTGGCTATTTAATAGTTATGTGACTAAACAAATTAATTGTGTTTTCTGATTCTTAGTTTCTTCATCCGAGAAGAAGGCATAATCTTATTACACAGAACTCAATAGAAAAATATAAGCAAGAGTTAATCAAGATTTTCTGTAATTCTCAACTAACTCATTTCTAATTCAGAATTGACAAGTATTCATTCTGAAACTCCCACAGTGCTTCTGAAAGAAGATAAATATTGAACATTTGATGCATGACAATTATGAACAAATCCGTGTGTGTGTGTATGTGTGTTTGTGTGTGTTGTTTCAGTTATTTTGACTTAAATCTTAAGTTAGAGCTTCCAGTAGGTAAGTAAGAGAAGCAGATTTGAAAAATAGGATTAAATTGAAAACACAGTAGTAAGTGCTCAATAAATATACTTATTTCACAAGTGAACAAATGAGCAGAGGACACACTAGTAGGCTTGTTTCTTATGCTTCCATAGTGCTGGAGAAGAAACACCTCCTTCGATGATGTCCACTGAGCAAATGCAGCCATTGGAGCTCTCAGAAGACAGACTGGACAAGCTAGACCCTCGTTGTGACCACTTAGGTAAGAGCTCCAGTGGGAATGGCAGTAGCAGAAGTCAGAAAGGAGGGGCCTCTGCCATTGGGTTTTCAGGCAAGTCAGAGGGAGGCCCCCTGAAACCTGATCATGTGGGCCTTCTGGTGACAGCCAACACCAGATGGACAGGCAAATAGCCATGACTCTGTGGGGTCTGCCATGTAAATATTAGTGGAGGCACTAGAGAGAGGTTCATTAGAGTTAGAAAAAGCAAGAAAAGGCATTGTCCTCTTTTTTGGGTCTGATGGAGTCCCAGGCAGAGCATTTTTGAGGCAATAAATGGAACGTGGCAGCACGGTTTGTTTCCAGTATTTGTCGGCACAGTTATACCCCATGTGCCGTGCCAATAAAATATTTCAAATATCTCTCTTTGCCTATCAAGACAGAATTTTAAATAGCCTTTTTCTGCTTTATTGTCAATCTGTTTCCTTCCCAGAACTGACTTTTTGCATAACCTTTGTAATGAAAATACCAGAAACATTTCTGCCTCTACCCATTTCTAAAAATGAGACGCTCAGACTTTTGATGGATGGGCTTTTTGCATATTCATAGCCTTTGTTTATGTCTCGCCTGTTTATGACTCCCCCCCCCCCCCGCCTCTCCCCTCTCCCCATTTGCCATCAAGATAGTTTATGTTCAGGATTTCTCCAAAAGTGGGGAAAAAGTGCAATGGAAGTAAAAGTCAAAATCGTAGCAAATCTCTTACTCCCTGTACTGTGCATTGAGTCATATCCTGGGGTGGAAGGGTGACCCATGACTGGTCCACATCCAGCCTGTACTTCCAGAGACCCCACAGCTGGGCAGCACCCATTCTGAGCAATATGTATTCGTTCAACAAACGTCTATGGTATGTATGATACGGGGAGAAGTTAACTGTGCTATGGGGCAATAAATTTTTAAAGTTGTATTTTCAGCCAGGACTTAAGAAACATAGGGGAGGGGGGTTAGGGATGGTGTGATGGGATGATGGGCATTAAGGGGGGCACTTGATGGAATGAGCACTGGGTACTGGGTGTTGTATGCAACTGATGAATCACTAAATTCTACCCCTGAAACTAATAATATAGTGTATGTTGATGAAATTGAAGTTAAATAAAGAATTTTTTACACTAAAGGATGTGAAATCATCTAGTATATAAGCAGTACTCAATTAAGTTCCCCTTTCACCTCTTTTTTCTTGTATATGTAACCTTAAAAGCATATGGTTCAGTGCCTTACATGCAGTATGATCTCAATAAATGTTTATTAAATTGAAATGATTGGATGGATTTATTCAAATCCTTTAGGTGAAAGGAAATATTTATTACTATTAAATATGGCTGAAGAGAATCATGCTGTTTGATTTTTTGGTTATGTACTGTGATCTTTGGATGATGGAAGCATAATAATGTGTGGTTACTAAGTATTTCTAATGGTGGTTTTCTCATGTATATTGGGTTTTCTAAAACAAAGAACTGCCCAGACATAAAGCCCAATAGACCATAGCAACTTGAAAAGAAGAACTATTTCTTATTTGTCTTTTTAGTCCTAGAATCTTGCTCAAGGCCTAGCATAGAGGACGAGCTTCATCAGTTTTTGTCAAATAAATACATTATGAATGACACAGGTTGTCTCTAGACCCACAAAACTGAAGTGAACATGTTTGACACATTTAATCCTCCATATTTTAAAGACACTGACATGAATATTTTCATAAAAAGAAATAGAGAGAGGGGCACTTGGGTGACTCAGTCAGTTAAGGACCCGACTTTTGATTTCTACTCAGGTCATGATCTCGGGGGTCCCAGGATTGGGCTCAACGCTCAGCAGGGAGTCTACTCAAAGATTCTCTCCCTCTGTCCCTCCCCGAAGCTCATGCACTCTGTCTCTCTCTCTCTCTCTCTCTCTCTCTCTCTCAAATAAATAAACCTGGGGCACCTGAGTGACTCAGTAGGTTAAGCAACTGCCTTCAGCTCAGGTTATGATCCCAGGGTCCTGGGATCGAGCCCTGCATCAAGCTCCCTGCTCAACAGGGAGCCTGCTTCTCCCTCTCCCTCTGCCTGGCACTCTGCCTACCTGTGCTCTCTGTCTGTCAAATAAATAAATAAAATCTTTAAATAAATAAAAATATAAATCTATCTTTTAAAAAAAAGGAACCAAGAAAAAAAGAAAGAAGGAAGGGAAGAAGGAAATGAAGAAGGGGCTGGAAAGATCTAGTTAATCTCTAAATTTCCCCCAAATTCATTCACAGTTGTAGATGTACCAGATGGTAACCAGACCATAGTGAGTTTCCAGAGAAGGCAGACAGCTTCATTGTCTGTGGCTTCTTTGAACCTTAATGGACTATCTCCTTATTCATAACATGCTTGAGGTCATTCATTCAAGCATACATTCAACAAATATTTATTAATTTTTTCAAGGGGATAAAATACAAGATATCTGTCATCAAAGAAGGCAGAGAAGACTTATGCAGAAAAAGTGCTACATGAGCAAAAATCCTGTAGATATCCAGAAAATGAGAAAGGACGCCCAAGACTGGGAAGACTTATGGAGACAGGGCAGGGAGGTGGACCTTCCTTTGGACCCTGTAGAAGGTTAGAGGGTGAGCAATGACCAGAGTGAACATTCTCTTGAGGATCTAAAATATATCAAATGTAACAACTGCTTTTCAACATTTACCAAATGTAGTCATCTCTCTCTGTCTCTGTCATACACATACACACACACACACACACACACAAACACACACACACTGATTTAAAATTATCCCCACTTTAGAAGTTGAGACAATATTAAAGTTCCTAGAAATTAAGGGCCAAGTTCTCAGAACTAATAAGTGACAGAGTCCGCAATTGAACTCAGATCAGTCCATACCACTTATCCATTCAAGATGCATTTATGGGAGGGAGAGGCAATTAAGAATTAAATTATCAAAAGGATATAATCCTTAATCTCCAAGAAGGCTCTGTCAAGAGCAGGAGATAAACCACGATAGATTAAACAAGTGTCATTGTTAACATGGAGGACATGGGGAGATGGAGAGGAGAAGTGAGTTGAGGGAAATTGGAAGGGGAGGTGAACCATGAGAGACTATGGACTCCGAAAAACAACCTGAGGGTTCTGAAGGGGCGGGGGATGGGAGGTTGGGGGAGCCAGGGTGGGTATTGAGGAGGGCACGGATTGCATGGAGCACTAGGTGTGGTGCAAAAACAATGAATACTGTTACACAGAAAAGAAATTTAAAAAAATAAAAAGTGTCATTGTCTAGAACAATGACAGAGACGCTCAAAGAAGCACGCCATCACCCAAAGCATTGAGGAGTTGGATGGAGCAGAGAACATACTCTCATGGGCGAGGAGTGATCAGATTGGACTTATCACACACACTGACATCTGATGGACATGATGCAGAATCCAAGCTTCATGAGCTCTGGGGATGGAGGAAGGTAAAGAGCTGAGTAAGAAGACAAGAGGACCTGGAGTGAGGATGGGCAAATGGGAGAATTGCAAAGCCAGGGGGGAAGTGAATGAAGAGACCAATGCTGAAGGCAAGTGTGAATGGTCAGTGTGACCCGGCTGGCCCCAGAAATGAAGGCAGGTGAGGAATTTGCAGAGAACCTTCCCCAAAGACTAAAGAGCATGCATGGCTCTGCACCAGCCCATGCAGTCTTCGAGAGAGCAAGCCTTGAACAAAGGACATTAAAGAGCATTTAGCACAGAGAACCTATTCTATCAGAAATTTAATTCAAGCCCACTCTGACTTGCCTAACTGTATTTTAAAGTTCTTCTTTGCTTTGATTATCCAGCCACTAGAGCTCTCGTCATTTGGAGTCTCATAGACTATTCCAGTTTTCTGTTTAATTCTATATATTTGTGCAAGACTATGAAGGTCCTCTGTAGACTAGCCCAAAATATATAAATCCTTTTCTTTTTCAGACCAAATGGCTTCTACAAGTAATTGGAAACCAACCAGTTTGTGTGTAAACCTTACTCATGTTATATTCTTTTTTTTTTTTCTTTGCATCCTATCAAAATCAGATGACCTTTCAGACCAGCTCATTAAAGACTGTGATCTCAAAAAGAAGCCAAGAAAGGGAAAAAATGCACAGGTTGCCCTGAATGTTGAGTCAGACCAAAAGAAACCAAGGAGAAAAGATACACCAGCATTGCACATCCCACCTTTTATACCAGGTAATGGACAACAAGGTCGGTTTGCATGTCTGTGAGGGGGAACCGCTACCACTAGATCACATTGATCTTAGAAAAATTTCCTTACCTATTTGGGTGTTTTTAAATCACTGGTACTATCCCTGCACCTGTCTTCGTTATAATATGGCCAGCTGCTATAGAAAACGAATTCCAAAATGTTAGCGGTACAAGGCAAGGGTTTTTTTCACTCATCAGTAGTGCGAGCTGGGGAAGCAGGTTCTGCTCCAAATGGTAATTCAGGGACTTCAGCTGATGAGAGTTCGGACATCACTGGCACATGGCATTCAAAGTCACCATGAGCATCAGCATCTGGCAGGCAGGGGGACGAAGGAAGTAGGAGAGGTGGCGGGGTTGGGGGAGGGGCAGAATAGACTGGAAGACTGGCTCACCCGAAAGTGACCCACAAATGTCCCCTGACTGCAAGGGCAGCAGAGAGATGTCGCCCAGCTGTGTGCCCAGGAGAAAAGCAAAATGGTCTGGGGAACAGCTAACATGTCTCTGTAACAACCTCATGTGTGATGTGTGACTCTCTCGTTTCCCCAGAGTTTTGTGTGTTCTTATTTCTTTCTCTCCTTCCCTCTGGGCCACTGATGTAATGTTCTCTCCACTCACAAGCCACTTGGAGGGAGACAAAACAAATAGAACACAGAGCTTCCTGAGAAGGAACCGTCAGTCCTCTGAGAAATAATGGAAACACATAAATGGCTGAAATACGCAGTAAGCTGTAAGGCTGTAATGACGTCCTTCCAGAAGGACCTCAGGAGCTCAGCCTGGTCAGTGGATTGTGGAAGGTTATATAGAAGAGGCTATTTTCAGGGAGTTTGTAAATGATGGAGAGAAATGCCATGTGTGGGAGAAGTGAGAAGGCAGGGAGGTCACTGAAGAGCCGAGCATATGGCTTACAGAGAAGCAAATGATCCACGACCCTCACGAGGATAGACCTCGGAGGAGGACAGACCTGGGCTGGCTTCCTGGCTTGGCCCCCTACAAGCTGTGTCACTGTGGGCTGTTTGCTTTGCCTTGCCTTCCCCAGATAGGTGATAGTGGTAGTAATATTAAATTCCTCCAGGTTTTGTGAGGCTAAAATAAAATCAGGCATGCAAAACCCTTTGTGACATAGATTCAATAGATGTGAATTTCTAATATAAAAAAAGCTCTTGTTAAAGTAAGTTTGAAAAGCTATGTTGACTACCATCACGAGGGATATGTGCAAATACGCATGCATCGTCCTTACGTATCAGGATAGATGTATTATTTTTATTTTATTTATTTATTTATTTATTTGACAGACAGAGATCACAAGTGGGCAGAGAGACAGGCAGAGAGAGAGAGGAAGGGAAGCAGGCTCCCGGCCAAGCAGAGAGCCCGATGCGGGGCTCGATCCCAGGATCCTGGGATCATGACTTGAGCCGAAGGCAGAGGCTTTAACCCGCTGAACCACCCAGGCATCCCAGGATAGACGTATTTGACCGTGTTTCTCCCTCTGTTCCCCTAACCATGCAGGTGTGCTTTCAGAACACTTAATTAAGAGATACGACATTCAGGAGAGACACCCAACAGGCAAGATGAGTCCAGCTCTTCATAACACTGACCTGGAACCAAAAAAACCAAGGAGAAAAGACACACCTGCCCTGCACGTGTCCCCCTTTGCAGCAGGTAAAAGAGCTGAAGCAAGGCATTTGCAGGGGGTGATGGGAACAGCTCAGGAGCCCTGCCATCTGGAGGTACCACAGGCATGGCCTCTGTCCTATGTCACCCAGAAGCACTCTGTGGGGGTAGCAGAGTTTACTGCTGCCTTTCAGGCTTACCTTCCCTGGCAGCTCCCCAAGGACTGACTTGGAACTGGGGTGGGGGGTTTCAGAGCATTCCTTGTGCTTCGGCAGATCTGGGCAGGTCCACTGAGCCAATGAAATAGAAATGTCAGTGGGTCCTTGAAAAGAGTTGAAATCTCCTCCTCCCCAGCCTTCCATGGATCATGCATCCTACAAATGATGGCTGATTTTCCCGACACCTGGCTGGATGTATTGACCAGATCTTCACTGTGAGAGACAGAGAGAGAGAGAGAGAAAGTGAGACGTAGAAATAGTGAGAGCTACCTTTAGTAGCAAACTCTAGAAATGATTCCTGAAAGTATCATCTTTTTTTTTTAGAGGAAATTGTGTATTTATTGTTAATTTTTTCTGGTATGATAATGGCAGTTTAGTTACTGTTTTAAAAAGCTTTTAGTGTTAGAGCTATATATGAAATGTTAGAGGGAGTTTGCTTTACAATACTCAAAAATAAAGACAATTAGATAAAACAAAAATGACAGAATGTTAGCAAGTATTAAATACATAGTTCTATTTTGAAAACTCCCATAATAAAGTTAACTTATTTTATTTTTTAAATTTTATTTTATTTAAGTTCAATTAATGATCATATAATGTATTATTAGCTTCAAAGGTAGAGTTCAATGATTCATCAGTCTTGTATAATACCCAGTGCTCATACATCACGTGCCTCCTTAGTGTCCATCACCCAGTTACTGCATCCCTCCACCCCCCTTCCCTCCAGCACCCCTCAGTTTGTTTCCTATGATTAAGAGTCTCTTATGGTTTATCTCCCTCTCTGATTTTGTCTTGTTTTATTTTTCCCTCTCTTTCCCTATGATTCTCTGTTTTGTTTCTTAAATTCCATGTAGAAGTGAAATCATATGATAATTGTCTTTCTCTGATTGACTTATTTCACTTAGCATGATACCCTCTAGTTCCATCCATGCAGTTGCAAATGGCAAGATTTCACTTTTTTTTAATCCCGAAAGAATCATCTTCATGAGAGCTATATTAATATGTGTCGAATCAAACCCTCAAATCTTGCCGAACTCTGTGCACAGCCCAAGGCTATATACAGCAGCCAGTATGTGAAGTGTAGTCTTCTCCCTGACAGTTTTATGGGGAGGTTAGGGAATAAGACATGTACACTCATGATTAGATCATTAGACTGAGAGTGAGTGTGTGTGTGCATGTGTGTGAGTTTTATATAGATATTTAGAGGGAGGTGGCAGAGAAGAAAATGTACTCATGTTTATTGAGACCCTACTAAATATTAGATACTGAGTTTGGTATGTCTCATGGATTTTTTAAAATCAGCTAAATAACGCAAGAAAAGTAGCTATTAACTCCCTTTACAGATAAAGAAACTGAAAGATGGCATTGATGGATGGATAGCTTCTTGGCTGATTGGTTGGATTGATGATGAGATGATTAGGTGGACAGATAAATGGACCAAATTATGTTCAAGATCAAATGCAATGAGTGGCAGAGCTGAGGCTCTAAGCCAGGTCTGTGTCTCCTGTGGGCAGTTTCTCACTGTACTGTGGTATAGTTGGGACTTTCAGCACTATGGCACTCGAGAAGGGACACTTTGGGAGGTGAGATTTTGTTGTTATAGAACTATGTTTGCTCATTATTTTATTTAATAAAGAAAAAAATGAAAGAAGACTAAGAAGAAGACATCATGAATAGGCAGTCAGGGGTGCAGACAAGGTTACTGATTTCTGTGGAGCAGATCCAGGCAAAGAGGCATGGGGCCTGAGGAGGCACTTCTCTGGAGAAATGGACTGAGGACCAAGTGGCAGGATCTGAACTGCCTCAAACACGCTTCTCATAGGCGACATACATTCCTACCCGCACTGATCCTCCGACACACCACACATTTCCCCCCTAAGCTCTGCTTCTGTCCTGGTTCCAGTCACCTTTCAAGACTCAACCAGTTCAGAACCTCTGCTAACAGACTCCTCCAAGTCCAAAGTGAATCCTTTCCATTCTCAACTAACTCTGTGGTAGACATGAGCATGCAAATACCAAGTTTTTGTCATCTCTTTCAGTATGGTCTTCATGGCTCTTGCTGCCACTATCAAAGCTGTCCTTAACGTTGACTTACATTTGATGAATTCATGAGAACTGTGCTAGCATTGACCTTGATATATAGTCCAGTCCCTTCTATATAGCAATGCTCAATAAGTATCTGTTGATTTGATATTCTATTTGGAATCGCAATTCTGCAGTTGCAAGTTCTTCATTGGGAGACTTTATTTTTTACCTATTTTTGCATTTGTTTTTGTTGAAGTCCTCCTAGGGGAAGACTTGGTAGTGGAACAAAAATATTTACGGGCAGAGAGTCACCTTAGCACACAGCAAGAAGGTCTAAGTTTGATCTCTGGTTCTGATCATTCTAGCTTTGTCACCCTGGGCAACTAGCACAAACAAAAGAGTCTCCTTTATTTCATCCTTCTCTGAAAGGAGGACCATAAAATCTGTCTCCCAGGATTGTTAACATAATTAAATAAAGCACATAAAGCACTTAGCACAGATCCTGGATTTTTGAATGTCCTCAGTAAATGTCAGTTTCCTTCCATTCCCCTCAGCCTTATATTCCTTGAGATTACTCAAATCATTTCTAAAGGTAAGAATGTTCCTAGCCACAGTGTTTTACCTTTCCATATAAACCCACTGATTCAAGGGACTTCCTAGAATGTTGAGCCTATTTATCTGGCCGTGGATGCTGCCTGCATCCCAATATCTACATCTTAGGAGAGCAGCTTCCTAGTTGAATAAAAAAAAATGTTTCTCAAACAGGGCAAAGCACACAGAGTTGGAGAGGGAGGCTGTATATTCATGGACTCTATACACATTATGGAATTCCTTGAATCAGCAAATCTCTGTGTTGTATTTGCAATTATAGATGGTGTTCTATGACTCTAGCTTTTATTAGCATATTAGCTGAAGCACTTTATTTTTGAAAAGCCTTTTAGTATCTAAAGATTTGGCAGTAATCGAAATGCTAGTTAAGCTGATAAGGATAGAGCCTTCGGCAGATGTTCAGAGAGACTCATATTGGTTCTAATAAGGGTGTTGAGAGGAACTCACAGACAAATGCACTCTGGAGACATCTCCTCTCATTAGCCCTTGGCAAGTGAAGACTGGACAAGGATTATCTCTCTCTTCTAAATCTCTTGCTAACTACCTTCATTCCCCTAGGTTAATGAGCTTATTTGACAGGTTCCAACTGCCAGGCAACTCCTCAGTGAGAAGTCATCTCTGGCTTCCTTGCCAACCTAACATTTGTTCCCAACTTGGCCCACATTTGCCAGGGCCCCCCATCTTGGCGACTACATGGCAGGGTTCACTGGGTTGTGATTAGTAAGATCCAAGTAGCTGAGACCTGCTTAAAGGAAAAAGAAGTCTTTAGTTAAGCTCTGTGGCAAAGGGAACCAGAGAAAGTAAAGAATCATGAGGCCAGAAGCATTGAAGAGAAGCCGTTTGGAAAATTGGCCCATGAGCTATGAATATTTGGAAATCAAAGCTCAATAATATACTTGGTGAAAGGGGACTGTTGTGTCCTTTGAAAGTGACACCTCCTCTGTCCTGCTGGGAATAGTGTTCTCTTTGCTGTGGCTTGCCAGGATAGGAGGTGTCTTAGCCCCAGCTCCCTTAGATCAGAGACATACATCTGTAATGCAGGTGACCAGCTCTGAATGGGATCATGGCCTAAAACAGCTTGCTACAAGGCTAACTCTTGACCCTTAGAGACCTGGGACTGAAAGCTTTGGCCTTAAAAACATACCAGGTTCTAACAAACAGCCAAGTTCCATAAACTCTCCTCCACAGAGAGTGGAAGGGTAGAAACTGACATTTTCCAAACCCCTACTGTACCCTAACCCTTGCACTAGATACTAGAATATCCTTTAAGAACCTCAGGGTTCGGTAGGGGAGATGGTTGTATTGCCCAGTGATTCCTACAGTGTGAAACATGCTTTACTGGAGGTTCATGTAAAAGTGTGCTGGAAGCATTGAAGAATGTCGGTCTATGTCTACCTGGCAGCGTCACCCCCTGGGGGAGATAGGATTTATTTTTTTTCTCCAGTTTTGTGGATGAATAAACTGAGGCTCAGACAGGTTAAGTGACAGCCAAGGAGGGCAAAGCTTTCTGGCTCTAGTGTACATTCCTTCAATGACACATCTCTGCTTCCCACAGAACAGAGGAACAGGACTAAGGAAATCAGACCTTAGTGTATATCAACCTCATTCATCTTCAAAGGAACAAAGTCGAAGATCTGAAGCATCAAGAATAAAAATGTATTGATGACAAAGGAGTCACTGATTTCAGCCTCTAAAAAGAATGCTTAATTCTACCAATACAAATGCTAGTTCACTTTCCACTTGAAATCACCTCCTGTGTCCCTGTGGAAAGCCTAGCCTACTTTGGGAAGGGCTGACCTTGATGACTAAACAGGTTCCTCCCTTCCCTGAAATCCTAGGACTTTTTTTTTTTTTTTTTTTTTTGGCCCAGATGCTCATCTGACTAGGTTTCAACGATACCCCAAATAATCAGAAATTTGACTGGGATCTGGGAATTTATTTTTCTTAAGATTTTATTTATTCATTTGAGACAGAGAGATACAAAGAGAGAGAGAGCATGGGCAGCGGGAGAGGTAGAGGGAGAAGCAGACTCCCCGCTGAGCTGGGAGCCCTACATGAGGCTCTAGCCCAAGACCCAGAGTTGAACCTGGGTCTTCAACCTGAGTTGAAGGCAGATGCTTAACCATGCGAGCCAACCAAGTGCCCTGGGATCTGGCAATTTAAATACTCTTGCCCACTTTGAATCAACTCAAATCTGGCTTAATGTGAAAAGATATCAAGGAAATCAGGATGGAAAGATTGGGGACTTAGCTTTAGTTTACTTCTGTTCTCCTACCATGATAGCCTTAATTCCAAATAAAAATCCAAACCTCCTTGCAGCTGGTAGAAGAGAAAATATCTCCCACTGTGCTTCATAAGTGATTTATGCAAAATCCTCAGTTTCAACCAGACTCTTGAAATTGTTTTTCTCCTCCAATAAATATCAGCTAATTGGTAAAGAACCCATATGAACAAACTAGGAACTGAATCAAATGAATAGTCATTAAGATCAACACATAGTTTTCATTAATTTGCCACTCTTGAATGGAGTCCAGTGTTGTAGAAAGGCCTCTTGTGGTGCACAGCTTTCTACCCTCATGTTTAGATCTTTGTAAAATGCTTAATGAATGAAGAGGTCTCTAGTTGTGAGAATGTGGGGGCAATGCAAGGCAGTGGTGGTTGCCTGGAGAGGATGACAGAAATCATGGAGGACTCGCCTTGAATCATAGCTTCCTTTGTCTTTTTATTAAAATGGCCCTACTTCATAATTTACAGGATGAGCAGAACCACACAGCCCTCCTTGGATGGTCTTCACTGGGCTGATCAGTCCAGAAAACTGTGCTCAGTCCTCTGAATTCCAACAACCAGTAAACTTTTAAAACATAAACTATATTGGAGCCCAACACAGGGAGAGTTTTGAATTTTGCCTAGTAAGACTACTAAAAAAACAACCATCTGATGCTCCTAAAATTTCTAAAAAGAAAGGATATTTTCATTCCCAAAGAAGAAAATCAAATAAAAACGAAGAACAACCTTTTCAAATTGTAGCCACAGAACTTTATGAGCACTCACTGCGCTTCCTTGAACTTCTCCTTTTGCTCTGAACCATGTAAACTTTATCACCCACCGGTCCTGACATTTAGGAATGACATGTCCAGAGCCCCAGCTCAATCTTTTCCCCAGGTGTTAGAAGAACATATTTAATTCTGACTTCCTGCTGCTGACCCATTCCTTTGAAAGGGGAACTGAACTAGCCCGTGTGAAGGGAAAGGAGAAGGGGACTCGGGCTCACAGGTGTGGCTCAACACTCTCTGTGTATCTCGTTCAGGTGGCACAATAACCCTTTACATAAGTATCAGGGCACTCCTTTTCTATCCAAGAAAATTCAAGTGTGAAAGTGTTATCTGGCCCAACCCAGACTGGATGAGTGGCAGAATGAGAGGTCCAAAGCAGGTGGATTCCAAAGCCTGTTTGCCTCTCGTCTTCCTGGTCTGCAAGCTTAAATGCAGACCGTGGACTGGGAGGTCAATGTTGCCTCTGACTCCCAGGTCAAGCATCTCCTGGTCACCAGAATGGTGGCTCATTGAGTCACAGCTCCTCTGGGCAGGCCAAGTAAGGCACCCAGAGCCCTGACTCAGGCAGCACCTTTAACACTTAGCTCCGCAGACGCTAAGGGATTTCTGGGTTGCCATGCTCTTGTGCGCCGTGTCTGTGCTGGAAGGTTGTCTAATATTTTCATTAGAGGCACTTAATTGCAGATCGGTGCTTTGTTTTGCAGGTGTGACACTGCTCAGGGATGAGAGACCCAAAGTGATCATGGAAGATGACGAAAAGGATGGTGACAAGATAGCTATTTAAAGAGAGTTCCCCTGAGACCACTTGTAAATAGGTTAGATTGGTTCCCGGTGGCGACCTAGAAAAAAAATAGACTTGCTTCTGCTCTCATTTTGTGATAGTCCGCCTTTGAGATCCAGACACCTTTCCCCCAAGAGGCACGCTGTATCAGATTGCCAGGCCCTCTTTGTCTCACTCCTCTTTCTTGAATCCGGTTTCTATTCCCACCTCTTGAATTTTCATTTTCTGAGGCAGTTGAAAAGGGAACAGATCATTCTAAATTAGGAGGTAACAGGAAAGCTCTAGTGTTCGGTTTCTGCATCTTCTGGATCAATCCATGGAGCAAAGAATACGAACAGCATGGAAATGCTTTTCTTGGTTTATGCTGGTGGGCAGGTCTTGACTTCACATTATCCAAACAGCAGTTCAAGTGCAGACAGCCTGTTGCCAGTTAGAGAGCCGAGAATGTTTGGGTGCAGACTCACTGATTGCTTTGGAGAACATGGTCTTTTATCTCTTTTGTCTTTCCTCAAGAGTCCAAGAGTCTCTGGTGACATTTCCAAGGTCCTTGTAACCAATCCCATAACGGTGAATCAGGGGCGTCACCGCAATCAATCATGCATTGGCTGAAAATGCCAGAGATATAGGGAGTGCTGGTCTACTGAGAAGCTTAGCAACATATCCTATTTATTTTTATTTTTTGAAACATCTCTTAACCACGTTGTCCTGAGATTTGTGAGTTGGTCACACGTGAACCATTGCTAATGATAGATAGAATATTATTTGTGATGAATTTACTTTTAAAAAATTAATTAAGGCCAGTGGAAGGCCACTCCCATATGTTTAGCATTCTCACTTATGTAGGCCCCCCATGCTTTCTTGGATGGGAAGGAAAGATGTAGTGTTCGCTCCTGAGCAGGGGTCTGTACAGAACCTCTGCTCCAGCCTGCTGTCTATGGCTGCCGTAGGGAGACTTTGCATCATCCAACAGACAACAGACATAGGGAAAGGCAAAAATTGTTGTTCAAAAGTATAAAGGGGGCTATTCAAACAGATCTTGCCTAAAAATGGTCATTTCCAAGCTCTGTCCACACCCTGGCTCCAAGAGGCTTTCTCACAAATGTGGAAAAGACGCAGGACACTTCTGAAAATAAAAATGCTTCTGACCACATCTTTCTGTCCTGGTGCATTTCTTCTAAAAATTATTTACTTGCAAATATAAAGAGAAGAGTTTGCAAAAGAGAGTCACAGGATTGATTTGTTTGCTTTTGACCCACCTGGGCTTAACAAGGTTCGAATCCGCCATTAATATTTAACAATCCAATCAGGAGAATTTGTATCAGATTCTAGATTTCCAGATCCTCTTAGAAAAACACCTCAAGATCTGACAACCTTGGGCCTGATTAGAAGCGTGACACCTGTCAGCTGATGCTGGGCACGCCCTTTCAGAAGGAGCACACGTTCCACTGGCCCTCTGCCCCCGCTGGATTACGTCACCCGCTGACTTCACTGACCAGCCTTCACATTTGGGTTTGGAGCCTCTGGTGAAGGCTTGGTGTTCCCCCTGATCTCTCACCTCTTTGATCCCAGGGCTCCCCCTTTCACTTCCGATGGCCTCAGTCACCATGTCAGGGGGTGTTCAGGCTACTGGTTTAGGTGTGAGCAGTGCAACAGCCACCATAAATTCTTTCAAAAAGCCGAAGGCAGTTAATGCACAGAATAGGATTAGATTATATCACCACCGGAAACAATTTTTACCAAGGGATTCTGCCTAGAAAAACCCAGAGGCAGTCTTGTGCTGTCAGATTTGCTGATAAGCCCGGTGCATCCCTGCAGCCATGACTGCAGAACATACTCAATAAACTCACGGACAGGCTGGCCCAACCCGCTCCTGAGGTCTGGGTGGTGAGGAGAGCAGACTGACGGTTGTAGAGACGAAGGCCTTGGGCTCCGATCCCAACAGTGTGACACTGAGCAAGTGTCAGAGATCTCTGTTTCTTTATCTTGAAAATGAAAATAATAATCCCTATTTGGTTTTCTTGATGGTTTGAGAATTAAATGAGATAATGTATGGCAAAGGGCTTCGTAAGTGGGAAAAAAAAAATGGATCGATCTGTAACACGGGATAATTTTAAGAGATTCTCAGAGCCTTTTCTATTGCCAAATCCCCACTGCCTGGGTATTAAATGCATAGCTGTTATATAGAATTTGAGCCGAAGACTCAGCACCTAAAGAAGGACTTCTAATAAGGAGAAGGAGCCTGCATGGCTTGTGCAGGCTTAACTGAAAGACCAGCCCTCCTCTTTCTGGGAATGGCCTTAGTAACAGTCCTAGCTGCCAAAGAGCATTTACCAAGCAATGAGGACAAAGCCAAGCAAACTTCCAACCAACCCTGGACATCACAGGGGTGATTTGGATTGAAGTCTAATCTCCCTTACTCCCCTTGACCCATGTGACCCTTTTCTGGGTGGGTAAAGTAGAGGCTTAATAATGAGGATACATTCTGATGAAAATAGTTTTCAGTGTATTGTGAATAACTTCCTACCAGCAACAAAATATAATTAAGAAAATAAAAGCATTACACTGGAGCCCATTCAAAAAGAAGGCCCAGATTAAAGGCACCCCAACAGAACTGGCAAACCATTTGGCCATTTGTCCCTTCCCATTTGGGAAGGCATCCACCAACCCCAGGCTACCTGACATGAGGAGGCACCAGACCTGAGACACTTAGCTCTCTTTCAAAAGCACCAACGATGGGGAGCCTGGGTGGCTCAGTCTTTAAGCATCTGCCTTCGGCTCAGGTCAGGATCCCAGAGTCCTGGAATCAAGCCCTACATCGGGCTCCCTGCTCAGCAGGGGGCCTGCTTCTCCCTCTCCCACTCCCCCTGCTTGCGTTCCCTCTCTCGCTGCCTCTCTCTGTCAAATAAATAAATAAAATCTTTTAAAAAATAAAAATTAAAAAAATATTCAAGTTCAAAAACCACAACAGGACTGGTGCCTCTCTTGAAATCCAGACCCTCTTTAAAAGCTATTGCCTGAGATCACACAGCCTCCTTCACATGTTTAATTATCAACTAGGAGAGGCAAAAAGGACCTGGTGCTGAAGGATGGTGATAGAACCATAAAGGACTCAAGCAGTGTTCCCTTTGAACTCCAATGAAGTGAATTCTCCCTCTCAAGCCTGTGTCATCCTGGGCTGATTCTTAAAACAAGGATAGACTGAGATAGCATGTTCGTCGAGCACTTACTTTTCCTAGCTGAGAGTAAGAGGCTAGTTCCATGATGGACTTTGTAGACCCTCTGTCATCTTGTGGAAATGACGCTCCCTTGCCACTTGTGATTGGTCAAGTGTGAAAATGTTACTCGAAAACTTTCTAAGGCAGAGAATTTGATGAGCAGAGAATATTCTCCTCCCGCTCGCCTAGACACAGGACTGCTTTGAACTGGCTTTGAGGGGTTCGTCTCTGTACAGAGGTTTCAGATCCCTGGGAGGACTGTAGTCCCTGACCCGCAAAATCAAAGCAAAAGACTCTTTATGCATAAATGTGTTCACAGTTGAAGGAGCTCTGCCCTCGAAAATCCCAGGTATCAGCTTGCCTTTCACAAGAAGAAAAGGATAGGTAACTTACAGCAGATCCTGCCAATAAGATGAGAGCCCTCATTCTTCAGGGGACTCACCGAGAAGAAGAAAAAGAAAAGGGAACGCATCACACCCATCCTCACCAATGTCACTCTTCCTCCTGAGGCTAAATGTGAATTTTCAGGGTTGGATAAAACAGCAAACTCCAGATCCTCTTGTCCTTATGTGAGTGCTTCAGAAGAATAATACATACTTTAATATTTATCCACCGAATCATATATAAAGTATATTTAAAATGTATTAAACGCTACTTAAATAAAGTCTTTCGCGAAAGGAACAGCATGCTCTGAGCCTTTGTGTTTGTTTGCCCTTTTTCCTCTGTCATCTTATTTCAACCTCAAAAGCCATTATAAGAAAGCTAATGAGCCAGGGAGATAGACTTGGAGGAGAGGCCAAGATGGGAATTCAGGTCTCTGAACTCCTAGCCCAGCACTCTTTGTAGAGTATGAAATTGTTCTGAAAACCCCCCTAAAAGCAGTGTCTGGATGTCAGAGAAGGTTAAAGAAGGAGATTTTTCAGTGACCCAGACAAAAATGCAATACATAAGTGGTTCCTTTTAGTGACTTTTCCCCACCCTCTCTGTGGAGTTTAATTTTTGAGTAAGTACATAAGTAATATGTTCAACTTCCAGACACCCAAAATTTGATGATGGGGAGCAGACCCTACGCTTCAGGGTGGTGAGCAGATGATTTTTGTCTTCTTATTCCACTCCAGCTCCCATATTATCCATTCTCTGCTTTGCAGCCAGAGTGACATTTTTCTTTGTTTTGGGTTTTTGGGGTTGTTTTTTTTTAAGAATTTATGTGTTTATTTGACAGAGAGCAAGTGAGCACAAGTAGGGGGAGCAGCAAGCAGAGGCAGAGGGAGAAGCAGGCTCCCCACTGAGCAGAGGATCCGACATAGACATACTCCAACTGGGGCTCCATCCCAGGAGCCTGGGATCATGACCTGAGCAGAAGGCGGACCCCTAACGACTAAGCCACCAGGTACCCCAGAGTGACCTTTTTCAAAACACAAATCTGACCATGTCAGACCTCTTCTTAACGTCTTCTCCTGGCTTAAAATGAAAGCAAAGATCCACCCTCTGGGCTCCAGGGGCATTGGTCTCGTGACAGTTCCTAACATATGTGGTGTCCCCTAATATGTGCGACACCATAGTGTCCTGCCGCCGCCAGGGACGCTCCTCACTCACCCCTCCTCCCCCATCTGATTCTGCACCCCTTCCACCCTGTACCTGGTATAGAGTTTAGCGTGATCTAAATGCTCAAGAAATATCAGCGAGTGAGTAAGTGGGTGAATGAACTTCGCCAGCAGCCAAGCCCCATAGCGCAAGGCTGCCGCGCCATATGCCCGCCTGGAGGCACACAAGGTCACTGACTCTTGCAAAGGACCAGATAGATAGTCACTACAGCTGAATGCAAACACCAGCTACAACAAGCTGGGCTGTGCTCGGGACCCCAGGTCTTCCAGTTGGCT